TTGATCTAAGTATTTTGATCCATTATAAGTCATTAATGTATATTGATATACTAGATAATTCACCGCACTGCATTGTTGTGGGAATAAAAAAAATTACATGTAAAAAAATAAATGCACCGACAAAGAAAAAATCTGTAATACTCGAATTGAACCGCACTCAGCAGGTTGAATATAAAATTTCCTACTATATAACTTGAATTTTGAATTAAATTCTATAAAAATTATTTTAATGTAATTCAATTGACTTGATAAGTTAAAATATTCACATAATTAATAAAAATATAATTTGATTTTAAAAATATTTTCATGATAACATATTTTTTAAAAAAATATATTAAAATAATAATATATTAAATCAATTCAGGTCAATTTAGATTAAGAACATATTTTTTTAAAAAATATATTAAAATAATAATATATTAAATTAATTCAGGTCAATTTAGATTAACCCTGTAACCTAGATTATAAACTCTGTTAACTTTAATAATTTTATTTTATTTGAAACTATTTTTATTTAATTATATGATAAAAAAATAAACACTAAAAAATTAAGCATCAATTCAATATCAAGATGTTTTTTGAGACTACAATAACCTTATAAAAAGTTAATTGAAATAAATCATGAAATTTAATTTTTAATAATTATATTTTTTATTATATTTTATTTAATAATATGATAAAACAAAAGCCCATGCAAAAGCTCAAAAAATTGAGAATCAAACCAATACTAGTATATTTTTTTTTTAAGATTGCAACAACCCTATATAAAAAGTTAATTGAACTAAATTACGAAGTTTATTACAACAACCCTATATAAAAAATAAATTGAATGAAATTATAAAACTCAACACATAATAATCATGATTTTTTAAAATTATTTTCTATTTACCAATATGATTGACTATATTTTATTTAATAATATCATATAAAAAAATTAGACGATCATGAAATTGAAATCAACTCAATAACAAGATTAGACGATCATGAAATTGAAATCAACTCAGTAACAAGATTTTTTTTTTTTTGAGACCATAATTACTTTATATAAACAAAGTTTAATTTCTAGGACTTATTTACTAATAAGACATAAAAAAGAGTTATGTGTAAATAAATGGATCAAAACTGGTATAAATCAAAAGTATAATAAGACAATATTTTTTTTAAGAACAAGAAGAACAAATCTAGCAACTTAAAACACAAATCAGATTAGAAACAGTCAAATAAAAGATACATGTTGAAAATCATGAAATGATCAATAATCTATAATCTATTTACTTCGATTAACATTTTATGTTTTTGTCAAAATAGATTTTGGTTCAAAACCAAAATCTTTCAATTTAATTCCTTTAAAAACTTGTTATTAATGCAAATAAATCCTGGATTATTTATTAAACAAACATAAAAATATGGTTATGCCCAAAGAAATGGATCAAGAATGATATGAATCAAGGGTCTAAAATAATGTTCATTTTAAAAATATAAAAAAACATGCCCAAAAACCCAGTAATAAACCCCACATTATCAAGCCCCCCTCTAAATTGATATTTTTGATCTCTAAGACATGCTTTTTTCATCCTAATAAATTATACTACTATAAACAAATATGTTTGAATTACAAAGACTAACAAATAACATCAAAACATCAAAATCAAGCATAAGGTATCAAATTCATGCGCGCAGCATGCTAAGAGATTGTAATTAGGTTCCGAACAGCTACTTGATCTGGCCAGAAAACAAACAATGATAAACCTGTCCCTCTGCTAATTTGTTCACCTCTGTGACTGTGGACATGTTACTATTAAATGGGGTCAAGCCTTCAAGGCTGTCTCCTTTGTGTGCAATCTTGTTACATCGAAACTTGATTGGATTGCAGATTTGAAATACAAATTGGCCGCTTTGCATTGAATAATATTTCTAGCCTTCCAGGCTGTCTCCTTTGTATGCAATCTTCTTACATCGAAACTTGATTGGATTGAAGATTTGAAATACAAATTGGCCGCTTTGCATTGAATAATATTTCTTTCTTACCTATTTCCCTTTAGGCGTAAATTACGTTCTCAAACTGCAAATACACAATGAAGTATCTGATGGACTCAACGATTTTTTACCTACAAGACGAATGTATTTACAGAATGGGTTGTCAATTGTGAATAAGTAGATGGCACAGATATGATAAGCTCAGGCTACCGCTCTCCTGAGTTGAACTTGTTCCAAGCCTCCTGAAAATAAACCAGCAATAAAATGATAAGAAAACAGATATTGGCAAGAATCTCCATGGTCAAAGCCCTAGCTGCCTCAGCCTGATGGAGAACAAAACTATGGTCTGGATGGAATGCATACTGTATATTTGACTCGTGAAAAATAGAAAAGCTATCGACAGGTTTTTAAGCACTACAGGATACTGAACACTGATCAACATTTAGTGAGAGTGTTGAATGCAGCCTCAACAGATGAGTGAAGCAGAGTAATTCTAACCTAACGAGGAGTAAGAGTCTAGGCATAGAAAGCCTACACAGGGGTTCACATGAGAGATCTTTCTAGAAAAAGTTAAAAGTCAAAAGCTGCTTATCATATAATGATAATCAAACTCATTTTCTCTTGGGTCTTTGCATGCTAGTCAGTCAATTTCCGGAAAATTGTTGAAAAAGAAGATTTTAACATCGCATTCATATATTATATTTAACATTTATGGTAAATATGAAATTGATTAATCATTCTTTGTATCTTGTTAGATTTATTAATTCTGAAAATTCAATAAAATATTAATAATTTGATTGTTAGTAATCTTGAATTAATTATGTTATTCTGAATCTTCTGAGATTCATCGTTTTTGCAATTCAGATGGAGGGACTTCATTCTCAAAAGCAGGGAAAAAAATGAAAAAGAAAATTCTTGCTCTCTCTACCTCTTTCTTATTTGCTCTTATGCTCTCCTTCTTCTAGCTTTAGGTTTCATAATGAGAAAATTTGGGTAATCCAATTCGTTCTCTTTGTTCCAATCATACGTTGATGGATCCAAGGAGAGGAAATGGTTCGGCAGTGAGTTTGATCCCTTCTCATTCATAATTTTCTTGAAGAAATTGCCAATTGTTGGCCAGTGGTTGTTGCTATAATTCCTTGTATTTGTTGTTCTGAGGAATTAGTCAAGTTTTCATCAGCAGAAGATTACATTATAAAACTACACCGCCCTCAGGTTTAATTTAACCTATTTGAAAAACAAGCTTCACCTGCCAAGAAGTTCAGAAAGACTTTCGTGACTGTTTCTTGGGCAAAACGTCGGTTGATTTTTTCCTTTCAGGTGATCCCAATTCCTCGATTAAAAGTTGAATATAAATTTAATTTTTTTTATTTCGAATTGATATGCCAAATCCTCGAGCTGTTTTTCTCAGTGTGATGGATTCGAGCCTATGGAGCTGCAGAAAAGAAATTTGCTGTGACTGTTCAATTCATGGTGTGAGTGGCATGCATTCCTAAGACCTGGCAAGAATTACCTGGCGAGTCTCGATGTAAAAAAGCATTTAGTGGTTTGCCGGCTGAAAGGAATTGACCATCAGAAAAGGCCACCTATAATCACCGTACAAGGCTGATTTGTCCATTGTTTCCGTCTAGTTGTAATGGAATTATTCCGCCTTGAGGCTGCAGCATCTTCCTTTTCTCTCGACTTCTTTCAGAGGTTGGAAAAGGCCTTAATGCAAATGGAAAACAAAACACAAGAAGACTTCAAAGAAAGACAAAATGTTGCCGAAAAGGGTTATTACCTCTAATTCGTATTTTATTTTTGAATATGTTTCTCTAATCTTATCTTATTTTCAAGAAATTTACAACTCTTTAAATAAATTAAAAATCAAATTTTAGGGGTAGAAAAATAACACTAATAAAATTAAACCAGACATATCTATCAAATATAATTTAAGGGTCTTTCAGACCTTGATTCATTATAATCAACAGATTTTTTTTTTATAAAAAATTGTGTCAATAAAATCATCTAGCAAAATTAAGTTCGATTTATTATTTAGATCTAAAGTTATGTGGGTGTTTCTTGTCAGGTTATTTGTTTGGTTAGAACATGTTTTTTTATTAATAAAGTATTGGTTTAGCTATTAATGTATTATTATATCAGAATACAAATTAGATTTTAAAAATTATATTTATTAAAAGAGAGCCACTAACCCAAACAAGTTTCATTTTTTAAAAAGATGCAAGATTCACAGGTAAAAAAGAGATCATGTTTTCTTGAGTCCAACTCTGTCCCATCATTATCTGCCAGTGACGGATTCATAACTGATTGTTCAGAACTATCAGATTCTTCCAACACGCATAGTACAAGCCTCCCATCTATTCTTGATTCCATGATTAGAATTTATCTCCCTCGTTATGCATGGCTTATCAGTTGTCACAAGACCGATGATCCCGAGCTGTTTTGATGGTTACATTTACAGTAGTATACATACACAAATTATGCACAGCACTGCTGCTAGCTTTTTTCAATATCTCCAGATTAACGGATAAGACAATTGAGCATCAAACCCTCCTTCCATTGTTATCCTAGCTCCATAGATTCTTCTTTGATTTGAAGTTTGTTAGTCCAGATGTACTGTTTATCGTGAAGGGATAAGAAGAACAAAATACAAGGCCCTATCACAATAACATAATTCATATAGCAGGTTGTAGTCGATAGTTTGAAGCTATACTCATAATTGATTCTCAACTCGCTTGCCAGAGATGAGAACGATTGGACAGCTAAAACAATATAGTAAATTCAATGAACACAAAACAAGAGCTTTCAATTCAATTCTATTTCTGTGAAATCAAATGGATCGTACAAAAAGTGAAAAGATTTGTCATATTTGGCATTGCCACATTTCAGATTGTCAAAAGCATTTTTTGCTTAGAATAATACACACTTCTTTGAGCTAAATAAAAGAAAGCTGATCGAACAGCGCTGCCTTTTCTTGCTTCAATGTTGATGAATCTATGGCATGCATATATATATTTGACAGATCAGAGCCATATCCCTCCTTCCTTCACATACTGCAAGTACCTAGCAAATTCTGGCCTAGCTGTAGGTTTCTTCTTTCTACGATTATTGAAGAGACTAAACAGTGGATGACTCTTGCTAACCTTTCTGCTGCTAGGCTTCGCTGGAAAAATATTTTGAAGGGCCAGTTCTGGTCCCAACTTTCGTGACTTTGATGAACCAAAAACACTAGCTGGTACGCTTTTAGCCCTCTTCAACTTCCCATCCAATAGACTTATGTTAGCAGGCTCATCGACTAACCTTTCATAACCTCCATGGTTCCTGCATGTGCTCAATGCTCTCAACATGGCTTGATGCTAATAGAAGTAATATGCTCAATGCCCTGGAAGATAACATGGAATTGGACTGTGTGTGTATATATGGAAGAATTCGTGTGGTTGGTGAGCACTACTTTGTGGACGAAAATGAACAGGTCAAAAGCAATGGCCTACTGATTAATTTAAGATATTTGGCCACGTGTTTGTTGCTTGACTAGTGAGAAATGCTATGAACAGTAGCTGATAAAGTTGTGGGAGGATCCTGTACGTCCATATGGTGAGGTTTACACGAAATGAATAGACAGGATTTGCTGATGCATGCATGAGCTACTGGGCGTAGCATTTTTATAAACTAGTTAGTCTTTGTTTGGTGAGCTCTTTGTTTTTTGTATGTTTTTAGTGTGTGAAAGGTTATCGCAGCTCTGACTTGTCAAGAAACGGCTGCTTGGCTCTATCTGTCTAGACTTTTTCAAGTGCAAGTCTCCATTCCAACCACAAGCAAGAAGAAAATTTCAAAGCTCACAGGTGAGATAGTGACCTCGTGCATCCAAAAAATCAACTCTTCTTTATGAGCACTGGATTATGTGGGTGGCGGATTTGGAAACGTTGTCAGTGATACTGGTTTTTCAGCTCCAACATGCATGTAAGATGTGCAGTGTGTTCCAGGAAGGTTCATAGAAAGCTCTTTAACAAGGAGGCATCGAGGCCAATTGCAAGAAAAACCTTGTAAAAAAGCGTCGATGGAAGTCTTTGTCTTCTTTTTTTTTTTGGGTGGTAAGTGATGACTTGATCAACAAAGCAACCCAGACAGGGACAATGCAGAGTTTACAAGGACAGCGGCAAGCTGCGGAAACTGGAAACAAAAGACAGAAATGATGAGCTAAACTAATTAAAGAGATCCCAAAACAGTATACTCAGAATCTTCTGAAGCATCTTTGAACCTTCGCGTCTTCTCTGCAAATCCTGAATGAAATTCTTCGAAAGATAATCCATTTCTCTCCCTGCGGAGTTACAGGCATTGTTCAGTGACACAAAATAATTTTCCTTTTTTCTTGTTAGTTTTCTTTTCTTTTTCTGGTTTTTCTTCTCCCATAGAAAATATTAGAAAACATGTTCATTTCTTCAATTCTCAGAAAATCTTTCTAACATAATGTGTTCATGTTATGTTGTTTCCCATTTGGAGAAAAATGGCAAAATAGAAATTTTGTTTAAATTAAACATTTTTTCTATGATATTCTTTACATTTTAAACGAATTTTTGACATTTTTTCAAGTCACGCTCTCTATAATTAAAAATTTTCGACATATATATAATTTTTTTTTTAGCGAAGTGGTACAACAAGATAAGTATAATAAATAAATTTTTTTATTTTTAATATTAACACATCAAAACTATAAAAAAAATACTATAAAAATCAATTTATTATTTTTTCAGTCAAACACACTTTTAAAACATAATTTTAAACATAAAAAAAGTCTCCAGGTTGACAATTTTTGGAAAACATTTTAGATGTTTTGCAACTTCAGGCATTACGGTGGAAAGACCGAAATGTGTTTTTTTTCTTTTTCTAATTTGTAAAAATAAATCATTTGAGCACAAATTTCTTTTTCCATATTTCGTTTTCTATTTTTCTTGAAAATATGGAGTATTACTCCATTACTAAACACACCCATAAATTCTGTCATCCATGGCTTTCTGAACTAAGTACACAAATGAGTACCAAGCAATACACATAACCCTGGATTTTTTTTCCCAGCAGAAACTCTTTGCCCAATAGAACTTATCGCCTTAGCTACCAACTTGCTTGTTAATGCCACACAGCTTTATTGCAGAACATGTAAAGAATGGATCACCCCTGACCTCATTCGGGGGTTCACATCATACAAGAAGTATTAAACACCCTGACCATCTTAACTTGCTATTACTCTCCTTATTTCATATCCAAATTATAATTATTTCTTACATCATTTCGAACCAGACACCAAGACAAGTCGGATTTTGAAATATTTGACGGAAAAGTCAAGCATTTCCTCTCAAGGCCAATTTTTTATCATTTTGCCGACCCCTTAATAACAAACTTGGTAACCAGTCTCGTTAAAAGTTGTTAACACCCTCTCCTTTCATATAGTCAAATTAGAACAGTATCAGTAAGAGCAAAAACAACCAACCTCGTTGCCAGGAATCTCTGTTTATGGAAAATGGATGACGAATGAGATCGGTGATATATTTGCCTTCAGAATGGTTCACAAGAAGCAAGTATTTGATAGGCCCCAATAAACTGTAATTAGCCCTGAGAGGAATTCGTCTCTATTTTGTGGATTCTAGTTAGCCAGGTGCTGAATAAGTCTGGAGACTACTTGTTTCAAAAATACTGTTTTGGAAATGAGAAACTAATTTTCCGAACCCGCACCGTTATCTCAAAACTCCAAAAACGAGACCAGTCAAGTAATTAACCAGATGCATCTGATCACTTCTATGAATTGCTTTAATGGAAATCTTCCACGTGGAAATAGAATAATGGAAAAGCCAGACCTGAGAGGGGTGCACTTTCTGAGTCTTCTTGATAAATAACAGTCTGCTCTTTGATCAAAATCAAGAAGTTCAAACCACCCCTTTTCTGCTCTAATTTGTAGTTAAGTGGCAATTTCATGCAACATCTAACCAGCTACTACCTAATACTTTAGTTAGTCCTTTCTTCCTCATATTGTTTCTCAAGCTCTCCACAACATCCCACCTATCAATGGATGCATAGAACTTTGAAACCAGCACATGAATGCCATCATTATTTGGTTCTAATTCCAAGAGATGCTTTGCAGCAAACTCACCCCTAGATACATCCAGGTTAAGACAACAAGCATTCACTAGTGCTGCCCACACTGCAGCTGTAGGCCCTATACCCTTTTTAACCATATCATGAAAAAGGCACCATGCATCTTCTATTTGGCCAGCACGGCCTAAGATATCTATGACGCAGGAATAGTGCTCCTGACTTGGATCTAGACCATATTTCTCCCTTGCAGAATTAAAAAGTTCTTGGCCTTCTTTGACTAGTCCTGAATGCCCACATGCTGATAGAACAGCGAGAAGTGTCAAAGAATTTGGCAAGACTCTACTTCCTTCTTGCCCCAACTCTTTAAACAGCTTGAGTGCTTCATCCCCATGACCATGCCTTCCATATGCATCTATCATGCTAGTCCAAGTAACAACAGTTTTATGACAGATCCCGTCAAATATTGATCTGGATTTCAAAATTCTCCCACATTTTGCATACATATCTAATAACACATTGCACACTTGAGTATTTTCAATAAATCCAAATCGCAGTGCCACGCAATGAATCTGCATCCCAGTCCACAAATCTGAATTATCAGAGCAAGCAGCAAGAGCAGTAGTAAGTGCAACCGCATTTGGTCTCATAGTACTCATCACTAAAAACGCCTCCTCGTATCTCCTATGCTTGACACACCCAGCAATCAAAGAATTGCGCAAAACCTCATCTTTCCTGCAGCTCAAACAAGAAAATACTTTCATAGCTTCGCTAATATACCCCACATTAGAGTAAAAATCAATAAGAGCAGTGCCTAAAACCACCAAATCTCGACCCATCACAATGACCAAGCCATGAACTTGCTTACCTTGTCGAAAAGCCTTAATAAAGGCACAAGCCTTAAGCACAGAACACAGTGTAAACTCAGTTATCTCCACTCTCTCCCTCCTCATTGCTCTAAATACACCAAGCGCTTCCTTAGCAAGACCATGCCTTAAAAAACTCGAAACCAAAGCATTCCAAGTCACAACGTCCCGGAATTCCATTTCTTCAAACACCTTAACTGACTCACCCAAGCACCCATATTTTGAATACATATCCATTACTGCAGTTTTTGCTATAGTTCCCAAATCCGTGCCCGTCTTAATCATTACAGCATGGACTTGTCTGCCACACTTCGTGTCAGGCAAAGCCGAGCATGCACGGAGAACCGGCGTAAAGGTGTAAGCATCAAGGTCAAGAAATGCAGAATGAATGCGAGAGAAGAGATCCCATGTGGCAAGAAAGTTTCCATCGCGAGAATAGGAGGCGAGTTGAGAGTTGAGGGAGTAGAGGTCTCTGTGAGGCAGTTCATCGAACACGTTGCTGGTATGAACATAACGGTTCTGAAGGTAGACGGTTGCGGTTGCGGTTGCTTTCGAAAAACCGTTAATGGGTGTTCTGGCGGAGGAGTTAGGGTAACAAAAGAAACGGTAGCAAATGGACAGCGACTGGGGTTTAGGAGGCATTAAATGTGAAGAGGGAGTGATTATTTCTTTATTGACAAATGCGGGGAATAAATGGCTTGTGAAAGTGGACGGCGCCTCATGTATATTCTATCAAGTTTTAATTGGGTTGTGAAGGGCTGGAGGCTAATCATCAAAGTGAAAATACTCAGTAATTGTTAAACTAATGAATTAACTTGTAAAGTCTAATAATTTTATGAGTTAATATAAATTTATCGTATAAAATCGATTTAAAAAATAAAAAACGGAGATAAAATCCGACTAAAATCATCTTGACTCGTTAAAATAGAGTAAAATCATGATTTGAAGACTGATTTTACAAGTTCAATTGATATGTATATAGACTGCACCCTAGCAGCCCTCAACTCCATTTTTCCCATCATCGTTGACATTAACTGTTCTAGATAGAAGCTAGGAGGATTTTCCCCCTCTGTTTTGGGGTCAGTGGGGAGTTTGAGGAAGGAACAAGGATGTCAATATAAGCACCTGCACCTGGCCTTCCTTGGATCAACAAGCAGCTACTGAGACCGAGAAAGTTCTATTCTCATCCCTGTCAAAGATAGAGTCTGTTTGCTTAAAGGGAGTGGCTGGTTCTTGTTAGGTGGAAATCAATCGTCAAGTTTTACTATTTCTTATTGTATTCTGTAAATTAGCTCCCATTTGATTCTTCCTCAATTCAAGAACAAGACTTGAAGCGCCACCGATATTGTATTGACAAAAAGAAAATGTGCTTGTTCTTGTCTCTCTCTCACACACTTTCTTTATTGGGTGAGGGCAGGAAAAATGAAGGAATTTACTTGTGCCATCTTTTATTTGCACTGTTATGCCATACATCCATGAATTTAACTCCCAGTTTAATGCTAATTGCTTTGGTTCAGCTAATGGCTTGTATTGGCAGCAGTCATTTGCTGCTGCAAGATTTTATCGATCAAGATTAAGTTTGCTTCTGTTTTGTCAGTAAAGTACCGTTGACTATCAAGATAAGGCCAACTTGATAATTTTGTTTCTGTTTGATATAATATCATCGTAAGGCCATCTCAAATTCTCCATTTTTGTTCTGCAGATGCTTGTAACATCAAGTAATTTAGAGCAGACAACGATTCAATAAAGAATTATCAAAAAGAAATTATGTAATCTAAGGTACTTGAACCATATATAAGAAAAAATTTCTTATAATTTTACGATCTGTTTTTACTCTCCAGGTTTACATTACATTTTCTGTGTTTTTGACAGCTTTACTCCCAGGTTCTTAACGCGGGTCATAATAAATATTAATTAATAAAATAATTGAACAAAAGCATAACGTCAGGATGGCCGAGTGGTCTAAGGCGCCAGACTCAAGTTCTGGTCTCCGAGAGAGGGCGTGGGTTCAAATCCCACTTCTGACATTTTTCTACTTCCATATTATTATTAAGTAGTGAGAAATTGTATGAGCTCCGTGATCAGTGCCGTAGTGTATTTAAACTTTGTCAACATAACTCACCGATCCAGGATTTATCCTGTGCTGAGTCTTATGTCTACTGATATAATTAATCATATACTCGGTAAAAACTAACTAAGACTTGTTTTTTTTTTAAAAAAAAAATATTTTTATTTTTAAACAAATTTAAAATATTACGAATTAATCCGAGTTGATGTATCTAATTTTTTAATTTTTTTTATAATGTGGTGATGAGGTTTAATATATACTTTCAAAAAAAAAAAGTTATTAACTTCTTAATCATCATATTAGCATGTGTTTGACTTGAAAGTATAGTTATTTTTAAAAAAATTACAACTTTTTTAAAGCACAAATCACACCTTATAAAAATAAAAATTATATACTTTTTATTTGAATTCTTTCAAAAAAAAAATCATCACACCTTCAAGCCCAAACAACTTAAGAAAGCAGAAATGCAGTTAGTGTTATGATGCGATTTTACCAACTCTTGTTAAAGGCCCGATTCATTAATAATTACATGGAAGCAACCTTGATCGCTACTACACCTTTGCTGATCACTGAAATTGTTTTCCTCCAGATCCTCAGTTGCCGTGCATGCCACTATCATCATGTTTTCCATCTAACATAACATGCTTGCTCTCTTTTCAGTCATCGATGCCTGATCTTATGTTCTTTTTCTTCAACTTTTATCGAATTATTAAGGCGATTGCAGGAAATGAAGTTTCATTTACAGTGATCGAGATGAACATCTTGAAGCCTTTTTTCGTAACCATTTTAATCAGAGAAGATTATAAGAGATTGTAATTAGGTCCCGACCAACTACCTGGTCTGGCCTGAAAACACCAACGATAAACCTCTCCCCCTGCTAATTTGTTCACCTCTGTGACTCTGGACATGTTACTATTATTAAATGGGGCCAAGCCTTCAAGGCTGTCTCCTTCATATGCAATCTTGTTACATCGAAACTTGATTGGATTGCAGATTTGAAATACAAATTGGCCGCTTTGCATTGAATAATATTTCTTTCTTACCTATTTCCCTTTGAGCGAAAATTACATTCTCAAACTGCAAATACACAATGAAGTATCTGACGAACTCAACGATTTTTACCTACAAGACGAATGTATTTACAGAACGAGTTGTCAATTGCGAATAAGTTTATGGCACAGATATGATAAGCTCAGGCTACCGCTCTTCTGAGTTGAACTTGTTCCAAGCCTCCTGAAAATAAACCAGCAATAAAATGATAAGAATATGGATATTAGCACGAATCTCCATGGCCAGACTTTGCTGCCTCAGCCTGGTGGCAGAACAAAACCATGGTTTGGATGGAATACATACTGTATCTTTGACTCGTGAAAAATAGAAAAGCTATTGACAGGTTTTTAAGCACTACAGGATACTGAACACTGATGACCATTTAGTGAGAGAGTTGACTGCAGCCTCAACAGATGGAGATGAGTGAAGCAGAGTAATTCTAACCTAATGAGAAGAGTCTAGGCATAGATCTAGAGGTCTTTCTGTGAAGGCTTTTCCATAGGTGTACCAAAGGCTATTTTCCAACAATAAAATACAAGAGATGTTGTCTTAAAAATGATTTTGTGATCTTGTCAAGCATATTTTCTAGTTTCAATAATCACTGAAGTTATTGGAAGTTACGTGCAAAACAGTACCTTCAAAAGATCAAAGACCTTCTCACATATGTACTTCTGCTGAATACTTGCACCCCTTTGTTGTAATTTGTCAGGATGAACACAAAGCGTGGCTTTCCTGTAAGCTTTCTTTACAGCTGCTGAAGTTATTACTTCGGTCAATGGAATTGGCTGCCAGCCACTGTCAGACCCAAGGATCTGCCACCAAAAAATAGTTCAAGTAACATTGTACAGGCCAGATTGAATGAAAACTGAAGAAAGGAGGCCAGAAATCTAAACATCTAGAAAACCTAAAAAAAGAAATGAAGTGAACTAGCTGGTGGAGAGTATTAAACAAGAGAAACTCAACCCAGACACCTTAACAACACAACAGAGATACACCTTCAGGTAGTAATTTGGCTATATAAAATATTCATTCAAGTTTTATCTTTATATATTATCCAAAAAAGGGTATAGCAGCAAAAACTTCAATTAATTACATTTTATAAGCATTAAAGGAAACCAGAAGACTTCATCATTCCTAAAATCATGCAAGGAGAAGACAACATACGTATTGTAAAGTTGACAGCAATGCACGCAAGTTTCCTTCTCTCCCGCTGCACCATCTCTTGACATCAGCATCCAGAGTTTCTGCTAATCTCTGCAAGAAAAATTAGATTGGAATTATATGTGAGATATGCAGAGCATGTTCAAAAGTTCAAATAATTCTTCGTGAAAAATCATTACATTTCTCTCGGTTTGTTCTCTCTGAGCAAGAAGATCCCGCATATTTTTCTCTGCTAGAGCTTTTGCCTGCCATAAAGCCAAAACATTACAGACGACCTCCTTCAATGTAAGCAATTGATTGCTATTTACTCTGTAGGAAGAAAATGCAGGAAGATAATCATACCGCTCGTTCAGCTGTTCTCCTATGCCTTTCTAACCTTGCTTTACACCTTTGAGGTGACTCACCTTCCACCCCTTCAGATCTCTCCATATAGTAGGAACCTTTTTTTACAGGGATACATGGTTCAGAAGCAATAAAGGATAAAACAAATATGTGCAAAGTGTGTAAGAAGTTTTGTATAAAATTCCAGTTTAAACAGTGTACATACCATTATATACTGAGGGTGAAGAATTAGGTGCCATTCCACCATTCCTCGAAAAAGCAGAGAATTTATCTGAAACAGATCTTTCTATTCGTTCTCTTGCCTCAAAAGCAGTCCTTTCAGACATTACTTTTCCAAAAGCTCGCTCGCGTGCCTCTGCAGCAGCTCTCTCTACTGCAGCACGTTCCCTGAGCCTGGCCTCTAAAGATCTGTTATCAGTTAATGACTTCTCCCTGGCCTCTGCACAGGCCTTCTCTAGCCTTTCACGGGCCTCAGTTATTGCTCTTTCCACGGCAGCCCGTTCTGCCCTATCACGAGCTTCGAAATGTACCCTGTCACGAGCTTCAAGCGCTGCTCTGTCAACAGCCATTCTGTCCTTTTCTCTTTCTTTTTCCCTCTCCCTTTCTTCTTCTAGCTTTCTAAGCCGTTCCATTTCCAGCTCCTTTTCTCTTCTCATCCTCTCAACTTCTTTTTCCTCTGATGAAAGGGTCTTATTGAGATTCTTCACTTTTCTTTCACTTGTATTAAGCTGCTGAGTTGATCCCAGGGTACTTCCTTTTGCTTCTAAATTAGCAGGCTGGGCAGCTTCTATTTTCCTTCCAGTCTCAACCGATTTTTTCACTGCTCCAGTTGACATGAAATTGTCCTTTCTGTCTTCATGATTCATAGCAACTGCCTGGGGGATATTCTTTCTTCTGTCGCTCCTATCCTGTGCAAATTCCTTCCCTTGATTTGTGATATCAGATTCTACTTGGGAGGCTTTCTTAGATTTCTCTATGCTCTTTCGTCCAGTGCCATTTCCAGCTTCCCCTGCTTTCCTCATTCTTTCATCACCATAAACTGACACAGGATCATCTTCCACTACATTATTTTCATGTTCTAAGTTGCTTTGAGCCAAACCAGACACTTTTGTTTTTCCATCAGCCTGTGTGCTCACTGTTTCAACTGCTTCTTCCTTGTCACTGATTTTCAGCCCTAGAAGTACCTTGCCAATTTCTTCATGAGCAATCTCCTCAGCCACTTCTTGTTTTCCATTCTTCCCCTCATGTTTGCCAGCTAATCTAGCTGATCCAAGGTTCCT